TTGTATAAAATAATTCTGTATATAAATCGACCTGAATGCATTTGCGCTTATTTCTTTCCATTTTTTTTAATTTTGTTCAGGGAGGTTATTCGTTTACCTCCATGTGTACGAAAATGGTCAGACGATTTGAAATAATCAAACTTTGTCCCTTGTTCGATCTGTCTTCTTAAATCGTCGTCCATATTGTTTTCTTTTTTTCTGTTTTTTTTTTTTTAATCATTTCATAATGCCACTAAGAAGCAAGCGTTTACTGGGAGTAAAAGAACGAGAAAACTTTATTGAGGAGAAAAAAAAACAACAGGATTCAGAAAGACAGAAGATGTCGATTGACGTCGCATTCAAGTTTTTGAAGATTGTAGGTGACAGCGAAACAAGAAACCGGAAATGTGAGATTAGAAACTATTGAAATAGAAGATACGGTTATATCTATCTACTTCAACGTTAAAGCAGTGTGACCTAGTCGCCAATCTCGTAGTGCGAAGTCTGCTATAAACCATAAGAACATCGAGATCTTTTGTGTGACGTAGGCAATCATGGCTCTCTAATTCTTCCTATGTTTTATAGCTCTTAGCAAAATGTGTTTTTTTACTAACCCTTTCGCCCCCCCCCCCCGTTCGGCACGTGTGCTTCTTTCATTTTTTTTTCTTTTTCTAGTTTACCGCCAATACTTTACAAAAAATGTCTAGAACAGTTTCATTCTTTAGTTCCACCATTTCAGACTTTTAAATGTAGGACAAGCTAAGCTACTTCCATGGAATCGAATTGCCCTCATTTCCTCCGTATTCCAAATCTAAGAAAGTCGCAATCAGAGATCTTTTTTTTTCCTAAGAACTTCTACTTAGTTGAACAGACACCCGCACGGATGCTTCCTTGAAAGCTATCATCTTTTAAGTATTTTCTTTGTTTTTGAAGATAAAATATTGTTATATAGGAATAAAGTGTCGCTGCCGACACTTGAGTTTGAATATAGATCGCCAGAAAACAAACACAGGCGATCCCATTATTGAATTAATGTAGACCACGTGACCATAGAGGAAACGCATATATGTAGGAAGTAGCTGACGACTAACGATAACTATTGTTACTCTATCCTCTATTACTATACAGACCGGTATTCTCTATACTACTGGGATCACTCGAGCGATTATTATCGAGCAAGTACTATTAGTGTGAGATTATTCGAAGGCGTCTGGCACCAGTATTGTTCAACAGCGTTACTCTAGTTGTATCGGCGATATCAAAGTCTCTGCTACAATACGAAAAGTGACAATGAGTATTCGGTGACATCACAAAAGTTTCAACAGGTGTTCGTTTGAGTCACAAAAATATATAAACAACATTAAAAAACATAATAAACAAATGCTATCCGACATTTTACAATAATAATGAGGAGGAAGACTTATTCTCCACTCTGCAGCCTCTTTTTCAGAAGAGACGCAACGTCACCAGCCTATCGTTATTTTTATGTCAAGTGTTCAGATGAGCTTCATTCTTTAGTTCCATCTATTTAGACCTTTAGAGCTAGGACACGCTATGCTACTTCCATAGAGTCGAATCACCCTCATTGCTTCCGTAATCCAAATCTAATGAGAAAGCTACACACCGCTAGTTTTTTATTTGTTTTTTGTTTTTGTTTTCACAAGAACTATTTTGTAGAACATACTCCCGCGTGGATGCTTTCCTGAACACTACATTCTAAACCACTTCAATAGCCAATCGTTATTTTTCCTTCTTATCCTTATAATCTTCACTTTTTACCCCCTCCTCTTTTATTCACATCACACATCACATTATCCATAACTAGTTTAACTGTAACCCACTAATTTGAGCGGTAACTGAACTTTGCGCTGAGAAAAGCTTAGTATAAAAAATAGCCAATAGATACCACATGTAACTCTAAAAGAAAATAATGACATAATCAAGATGTTAGCGTTCCACATTGCTTCAAACAAAAAGTTAGGAAGGAAACCTCCATCAATAAGAACGGTAACATGAAAAATTGTTTTAAGAGAAAGATTTCAACCGGCATCAGTACTGGCTGTTCGGTCAATGAATGCCAAATGTTTCATTGGAGGCAATAGCCTAATATTGTCATGGCCATTACCATATAAGTAGCTTTGAAAAACTTTATTTTAGGAGATTTTAAAACGATAGACCTTTTTTCTACTTAAAACAAATGACAAGGCAGAATGATCGGTAGGTGAGTAAATTTGTTCAATAAATGAATCATAAAATATATCATACTTCCAACATTATATCTATGTACACCTTCGCCGAATTCTCTATGCTATTCCACAATCCTCGGCACCGTCTACAATGTCCGACGACTGCCTAGGGTTCGTTTGTTTGTACAACAAATTCTACTCCTTTAGTGATGTGCGCCTGTGAGTAGTGATCACGGTGCTATTAGGAACGACGTCGTTTTCCTATTATCACAGTAAAGCGATGCATGTTTATTTAACTCTCTGTTTACAAAATGGTTAGAATAAAACAAAATGGCGGGATCTGGCTGCTGAAATTCGGTTACGAAGCACGCCGAGTAGACAATATACGTGTCAGTCGAGACATCTGAAAAATACCACAAGATCTCGAAAAACAAATTTAGAATATCGTTAATTTTCTTAATAAGAAACCAGTTTCCGATGCTCTTACTGTTGCCAATTTAGAAATAGAAGCATACGTCTAGTTAAGATCAAATAATCATTCACATTATTCACAGAATATCAACAATTGATACACGGACTGTTGTCACCAACCTAGCTACTCAAATGCAATAGTAATCATAGCAAGGATTCTATTTTATGGAAGAAGGGTGACTTCTCTAGAACAATTTTAAGAAGCTAGATTTTCAGTCAGTTGCATTGTTTGAGTCTTATCAGGTCGCGTTATGCTGTTTTCTTATGTCAGACTAAACTAAACTAAAAGACAGACCTTTCATCATGCCAGACTAAACTAAACTTTTTAATATCTTCAGCAGCTGCCATAAAGTAATAGTAAACTTTTCTCACGGAGCATTATTGAAATAGCTATCATTATTGAAAGAGACAACATTATTGAAATAGGTAGCATTATTGAGAGAGACAGCATTATTGAGATAGATAGCATTATTGAGAGAGACAGCATTATTGAGATAGCTAGCATTATTGAGAGAGACAGCATTATTGAGATCGCTAGCATTATTGAAATATCTAGCATTATTGAGAGACAACATTATTGAAATAGGTAGCATTATTGAGAGAGACAGCATTATTGAGATAGATAGCATTATTGAAATAGCTAGCATTATTGAGAGCGACAGCATTATTGAGAGAGACAGCATTATTGAGATAGTTAGCATTATTGAGATCGCTAGCATTATTGAGAGAGACAGCATTATTGAGATCGCTAGCATTATTGAAAAAGCTAGCATTATTGAGAGACAACATTATTGAAATAGCTAGCATTATCGAGAGACATTATTTAAATAGGTAGCATTATTGAGATAGACAGTATAACTGAGATAGCTAGCATTATTAAGAGAGACGGCATTATTGAGAGTGACCTTATTATTGAGATAGCTAGCATTATTGAGATAACTAGCATTATTGAGAGAGACAGCAAAATTGAGATAGATACAAACATTTAATAAAATATTACAATGGCAATCATAAATATAAATGATCATTATTTTAAAAAGAGGGTACAAATTAAAATATTTGAAATTAAACATTTTTTATTTCACTTAAGCAGACGTTAAATATATGAGTGCTATCGCCACTGCTTTCTTTCTTTCTTTCTTTCACTGGGGCAAAACTGCATCTCTGATAAGTTTTTTTTCCGTCTTTCCACGCGGTCAAAACGGAATATTCCATTACTTATGTGGTGTTGGCAAGGTGTAATGTACGCGTTAACTCAGAAACTGAGAAACAAGTAAAATTATCAAATATTTACTTCGTTTCTGTTTGCCGCGTCGATTCGTGAATTTGATGACATAATTATTATGAGTTCAATCTTTGGGACGGGCAGTGTGTACTGGGACTCAGTGGAAACGGGCTAGCAATAACCGATCAGTACTTAAAAAAAAAAAATAAGAACTTGGCAGTATCCCTAGATATAAGCAGTGGAACAAGAAAAGTCTATCCCCGTAGATTAAATAAAGGGTTTCGTCCAGAATACACAGATCGATATACAACTAAAGAAAGGTAGAGAGCACAATAAACGAAACACTGTGATAACAACCACAACAACAAAGATGAGGAAAATAGTCCGAATATAAATAATTTATTTCGATTGCACGGGTTAATCTTGGATTTTGTTTGACCATAACGATCATTTATCTAAGAATGTTATTCTTTGGGTGTTCTGTCTGTATTCTCGTTCTTTTTTGTCTCTGTGTTTTTTTTTTGGGGGGGGGGTAATTGACGACTAACGATAACTATTGCTCCTCTATCATCTATTACTATACAGACCGGTATTCTCTAAACTATTGGGATCACTCGAAAGAGTATTATTGAGCAAGTACTATTAGTGTGAGATTATTCGAAGGCGTCTGGCACCAGTATTGTTCAACAGCGTTACTCTAGTTGTATCGGCGATTTCAAAGTCTCTGCTACAATACGAAAAGTGACAATGAGTATTCGGTGACATCACAAAAGTTTCAACAGGTCTTCGTCTGAGTCACAAAAATATATAAACAACAATAAAAACATAATAAACAAATGCTATCCGACATTTTACAATAATAATGAGGAGGAAGACTTATTCTCCATTTTGCAGCCTCTTTTTCAGAAGAGACGCAACGTCACCAGCCTATCGTTATTTTTATGTCAAGTGTTCAGATGAGCTTCATTCTTTAGTTCCATCTATTTAGACCTTTAGAGCTAGGACACGCTATGCTACTTCCGTAGAGTCGAATCACCCTCATTGCTCCCGTAATCAAAATCTAAAGAGAAAGCTATACACCGCTCTTTGCCATCGTCATTAATTAATTATTCTTTTTTTCTTTCTTATTATATTTTCAGTGCATTCCCCGGCGCTGTGTTCGGGATTATGTCTCCATACAAAAGCGACGAATCGTTTGCTACAACAGCATGACACGCAAGATTACTAGACGGCGTTACTGCAAGCACTTAAAGACGCCCCCATTGCAACGTGAATGCCACACACCTTTATGTGAATCATATTGGAAAACTTCAGCTTGGAGCAAGGTAAATTATCCGGACAAAATGTAACTGCTACAAAGTTCCACGATATTATAATACACAGGTGTCCACAAAGTAATTAGATAAATAAATAAAAATATTAACATTACAACAGAAAATGGATGTAATTTACAATGTCTGGAGTAAATAGTGAAGTTTATATACAAATAGTGAAATAAATTTCTATATGGGCCACATTTGTGGCACGAATGACATCTATGCAATATTTAATTATTTAATTCTGGTAATTCTTTAAATACACAAGGGGTTGCTGCCGTTTCCGTAGCACGGGATAGTGTTGCTAGCTTCATTTCGACCCATTTTGAATTTGTTATTGTCTTTCTTCTAGAGAGGTTGCCAGCCAAGCCTGGAGAGTCATGCCTGCCTTACTATTTAACCTATTGGGAAAAGATGGATTCATACCTTTTTTCAAGGTTATTTGTGAAAAAATGAATGTAACGAACTCGATTAGAATTCGAACTCAGCTCACCGATTTCTCGTTCAGTGTCGTTGAGTGTACTCTATTGCCTGTAATAATTGTCACAAAAAATGCATAGTAGAAACCTCAAGGAATCTAGACAAAAGATTATATGAACACAAAAGGGAATTTTTGCAAAATGATACATCAAATGCGTTAGTTTCCCACCGTAACGAGAACGACCACAGATTTACATAAAAAATCCTACTCTGATCAAAGGAGGAAATAATTCACTACAACGTAAATGTGTAGAGAGTGCCTTAATCGCCATGGCATCTACAGTAAATTTTCACCACGGCTCTTACAACATTTTAGAATTTCTGGCAGGTCTTCTGATATTGTGGTGTGGAATACCTACTTACAAAAATGATGGAAAGACAAAGAAAAAAGACTCTAAATGAATTCGGCTGAATAAAAAGAACTAAAATTCCCAGCACCTTTGTCGTGCGCATGTGTATTCCTAAAGGATTTCATCGGTTAAATTTATTATGTTGGTGCGACTATACATACGCACGAGCGAGGGATGCTGGGAATTTAATTTTTGTTTTAATCTAGACGATTTTATTTAGATTCTTTTTCTTTTTTCTTGGCATCAGAATAGTTAGTAGGTATTCCACTGTGATAAATGAAGTTCTACCAGGAATGGTGAAATGTTGTAAGAACCCGGCTGCGAAAAGTGATGGAAAAGAAAAGAAAAAGACTCTAAATGAAATCGGCTAAATTTTTACAAAAAATAAATTAAATTAAAAATTCCCAGCATCCCTCGTTCGTGCACATGTGTAGTCGCACCAACATAAGAAATTTAATCCGATGAAGTCCTAAAGGACGAAATGCGTCACATGAAAACTTTTTCCACTTTGACATACACTTTCCCCCAATATTTTTCTTGATATATAAAAATATATATCGTTATCTCATATATATATATATATATATATATATATATATATATATGTATGTATTACTATTTTATCATTATAATTATTATTAGTATAGTATTTCTTCTTGCTCCTATCTAAATGAAATAATTGTATTTCTTATAATTTTGATCTTGATATTTGATTTTACATATGATAATTTGTTCCTATTATTTCTTGCATTAATGTTCAGCCTGTAAAAGCCCCAAGAGCCATTCGAAGTAGAAGTTTAAAGAGTAAGAGGTAAAATTTATGGGTATATGTGGGGAAGATAACGGTTAACCCTAGACTTGAAAAGTTTAAGATTGTAGTGTTCAGAGAAGCATCCTCTTGGGAGTCAGTTCCACAAAGCCGCATTTCGTGGGTAAGAAATTGCTCAGGTTGAACTTACATCTCACCAACGGAATACGATTGGAATGAGGGTGGTTCGCGACAAATGCGTGACATCGCGGATCTTAGCCGTGAAGCTTAGAACTGGTGGGAGTAAGCAATGTAGTTTGTCTGAACACTTTCCCTGGAAATATCCATAGAGCAGCGAGTGACTTGCGACGTGTCGTCTGTGGGAAAGGGTTTGTAGGGTGGGAAATAATACATCCCCGCAAGGACGCATGAAGATGCTTTTGGCGTCTATCAAGATTGAAAAGTTATGGGTGTGCAACTGCTGCTCATATATGTCATCATTACTCTAAACTCGGCTTGATCTGCCTTTTGTTAAGATAAAGGATAGCAGGACGGCTCGGGTACTTACTGGCTCAGTTTCATTTAAAACTGTTCACACATAGGTAGCAAATTCATTAAATGTAGCTATCTGGTCATTTTTGTGGTGATTGACGAATCTTTAAAGTGAGACGTTTATTTTAGCGTTTCATTTGCTTGTTCATAACTTGATTGTAAATATTTCTTTCTTTCCTTATCTGTTTAACCTCCCAAAGACGTCCTCGTATGAGGTAAAGAGGGTTTGGGCTATAAAAAAAAATGAATAAGAATTTCACTTTTAGTGACGCCAATTTAACCCCAAAAAAAAAAAAACAGAGACATTTGACCAACTAGTCTGGCTTCGAAAACTTGTGCATACATGTGCCCCATTTCCTTACTTATTCTGTTTATCGTTTTCTTGAAGGATTTATCTCGAATTGGCTTCCTGGAAACCCGTCATATATCTGAGAAAAAAATTATCTTATAATAAGTTTAATTTTAATTTTCCGCTCGATTTTAGTTTGATAGATGATATTTTAACTTATACACCGAGTTAAAACTTAAACTTGTCAGTTTCCTAACTAAGCCTACCTTAATACATGTATTCGAAGCTAATCCTGCAGGTGGAACCCCACCGCTCTCAGATCTTAAATTTCTTTTTTCTGGGTAAAGTGATGGGGGTGGAATGTAAATGGAAAGAAGACAAATTTTCTTTGCACGAGCAGCGAGACAACTGGTCAAATTCCACATAGTTGAGGAACTGAATAGCTACTCTGGGATCATATTACATAGAGCAGCTATTAACTCTCCAACAGTCGAGTGTTGCTGTTTTATTTATTTTTAGGTTTTCTGGCTTAATTTTTATACACCTATCTAAGAGTGCTCTTAACTGACAAAAATGTTTTATTGCTTCTCTACTACATACAATCTTCAAAAATGTAAATACAACGCCCATCACTGTCTTCAGTCTTACTGAACCCAGTTCTTTTATTGTCTTTTCTCCTCGCTAAAGTTTTCTCATTCTCTTTCACTCCCAGTAACCACTTACGTCTTAGTGTCATTATCGCCTTGCTTGGAGTAAAATGATTAAAGATATTTTTAATTGTAGTATTCATATATTTGCATGTTCACACCAGGGGTTTCATTTTTATTGCTATTAACTCAGTGACACACAAGCGATCTATTTGATATTCTTACCATTCTCGACAGTGCTGTTGTCTGGTTGGTTTCCGGCCTTCTCTGGATCACCAGACTTTTCAATCTTTCCTCTTGGCTCTTGGGGATTGTTTCAAGCATTCCAACAGCTGCCAACACTTTTATTCAAGATTTTTTAAACGTTTTCTTGTAATGTCTAGACATTTTTTCTAGATTTTCACTTATTTTTAAATTTATGCTACGCAGTGTTACGTTTTGTTTGACTGTTTTGTTTTATTTTACGGCATATCAATCTCAATGAGTTATTTAATGCTGACAAGATTTTTATTAGTGGTAATATTTTTTCAGAAATTTATTGGTGGTAATAATGTATTGCTGGTAATAATTTTTCTTTTCCAAAAAGTATTGCTGATAATATTTTTTTTCTTTTCCAAAAATTTATTGCTGGTATTAAAACCTATTTCAAAATTTTCATAGGGAATTGTATTATTTCCCATAGTGTTTTGACCCAAGTTTGGGGGTTAAGTATTTGCCCATACCTGGAACCCTAATATGTCCTACAACCTCAGGGTCAGGATGGTCCTGGGAGCACCAATAATTAAGTGGTGGTTCTACTCTCTTCAAAACCTCCTGATCAGAGGCCTTGCTACCGGATGTGTTTTATCGTCATACCCGGGACGCCTCAATAGAGGGTAGGGCTTACCCCTCTGCAGAGGTGCAATCGGCGCATTCTGAATCCCCAGCCGACAGGGTGAGCAGTGTTTAAAAAAAAAATCAACAAATTATAATCCTCTTGTTTAAATTAGATTTTGTCTTTTGGCTCTGTTTGGTTGATTCGTTTACTTATCAAAGTTCCAGAATTTTTTTAGATACATCATTTTTATTTAACTTGTAGTGCCCGTGAAAATTTTCCAATTTGAATTGTCTGATTAATCATAATTCTTAATAATATTCCTTGAATAAACTCCTTGCTACTTTAACGGCTGGAAAATACCTTATTTCATCCTTAAATATTTGAGCTTCACAACTTTAAAAAAAAATATTACAATACCATTCATAAGCAGTGAGTGCAAATGAATTTAAACGTTTTACTAGATTGGCGTCTAGGTCCCGCCCTTTTACTATTGAAATAGCGAAATGCAACCGCCATTTCTACTTCAACAGTTTGTTTTCTCGCGCTTTTCGCCTGTGGGACTTTTTTCCGTTTACTTGCTTCCCTGATAACTACAATCTTCAAAAATGATAATGCAACGTCAATCGCCATCTTCTATCTTCTTGAATTCCATTCATCTTTTTGTCCTTTCCACAATCCTTCCTATTCTCAGTCTTCTCTTTCACTTCTTTTAACGCCCTGAGTACTAAAGACATTTCATTCTTGCTTGGGGTGAAATGATTCAAAAAATTTGAAACTGACAAGAATTCACATTTCACTGAATCATACGTTAACACATGAGAACATTATCGCCTCTAAACACTTTTCTTTCTTTTTCTTTCTTTCTTTCTCTTTCCTTCTATAAAACCAAATAGCATCTCTAATATATCATGTTCTTTCGTCTTGCAATCAAAACGGAATGGTTCATTATTTATCTAAGGTGATGACAGGGTGCAACGCACGTGCTAACTGGCTAACAGAAGAATAAGCAGGATTAGAATATAATGGTTGACAATACATCTAATAAAAAAAGCACATTGCCATAATAATACTGTTTTTATTTCCTCTTTAGGCTACCCTACTTTAAAATCAGAGCCGTTAACTTTTG